TTTTTTTCAAATGCCAGTTAGTTAGTTAGTTGTTGTTCTCCTTCATGATGTCAGGATCAGATACAGCGTGTCTGACTGTGGCTAATCAGACTAATACGAGGTCGGAAGGCTCTACCACAAGTCAGGCACAAGCAGTCCTTTTGAACATTTAAGTGGAGATATCTCTAAATTTGCATATCTCACATTTATTTTGAGCTACTGCAATTTGGGTATGGTTTATTTTCACAAAAATCATCTTCTAATGTCTTATCATGGCATAGGATGACCTTGGATTCTTGAAGGCTATGCCAATGGAGAGCAAACTATGACAGGTTTTATCATTCTGGAAAGAAGGCAAATACAATAGCATTGAATTAGATGAGGTCAAATTGGAGGGAGATATCTAATGAAGAGATCCATAAAGGTACTGTCTTTGGCCTTTGTGCTGATCAATATTTTTATCAATGACTTGGATGAAAATATAGATGGCATGATTATTATGATTCAAATGACATGAAATTTGGAGGAATAGTTACACATTGGATGATGAGTCAAAATCCATAGGAGTCTCAACAAACTCAATCAGCTGAATTCAAATGAATATTTAATAGATATAGTGGAAAATTCCATATGAGTTTTACAAGTTCATCTTCATCAATCCATAATGGGGCAGGGAGTGTAGCTAGACAATAGTTCTGTGAAAAAAGATTTGAGGGTTTTAGTGGACTGCAAGCTCATTGTGAATCAACTTTGTAATCTGGTAGCCACAAAAGGTAATACAATCTGAGGCTGGTTCAGGGAGGCATTATATCCAGAATAAGGGAGGAAAAGGTTCTGCCATACTTTGCCCTGGTCAGAACTTATTTGAAGAATTGTGTTAAGTTCTGAACACCAGTTTAGAAAAGGCATAGATAAGCTGGTGTATGTCTAGAAAGTAATTAGGCTGTTGAGTAGACTATAAACCTATCTTAAGATCATCAGTTGTAGGAACTAGGACATTAAGCCTGTAGAAAAAAACTTTTAGAAGGAACATGAGAGTTGCCCTCAAATATTAAAAGGATTATAATTTTTAATGATGTTTCCCATTATACATAAAATCATTTAAACATATATATTTTTAAATTTTGAATTCCAAATTCTTTCTCTCCTTCCCTCCTCTCCTAACTCATTGAGAAACCAAGCAACTTGGCACAGGCTGTACATGTGCAGTCCTACAAAGACTATTTTCATATTAGTCATGTTGTGATAGAAAAATATAGATCAAAAACAAACAAACAAAAAACAAGAAAAATAAAGAAAGTTTAAAAAAAAAGTATGCCTTGGTCTGCATTCAGACACCATCAGTTCTTTCTCTGGAGGTGAATAGCATTTTTTCATCATATGTCCTTCAGAATTGTCTTAAATCATTGAATTTCTGAGTCATTCACAGCTGATCACCTTATAATATTGCTGTCAATGTGTGTACTCTTCTCCTGATACTGCTCACTTCACTTTGCATCAGTTCATGTAAGTCTTTCTGGGTTTTTCTGAAAGCAATCCTGCTCATCATTTCTTATAGCACAATAGTATTCCATCACAATCATATACGATAATTTGTTTAGCCATTCCCCAATTGATGGACATCTCCTCAGTTTCCAATTCTTTACTACCACTCAAAGAGCTGCTATAAATATTTTTTTGGTGCATATAGGTCCTTTTCCTTTTTGTTTTTTTATCTCTTTGGGATACAGACCTTGTAGTGGTATTGCTTGGTCAAAGGTATGCATGGTTTTGTGTAGCTCTTTGGACATAGTTTCAAATTCCTCTCCAGAATGGTTGGATCAGTACACAACTCCATCAACAGTGTATTAGTGTCCCAATTTTCCCACATCACCTCCAACTTTGTTTTTTTTTAAACTGTCACATTTATTATACTGTAAAATACAATGATTATCCCTCAAGTTCCTGTCTCTTGATAAAAGGGTATCAGTTGATTTTTTTAAATTAAAAGTGTAAAGGAAATTAAATTTATCTTGTATTCATAGATTCTTTGGGGTTCCTGTAGCACCACCCCCCTTCTTTCATGGCTGTATCATTTCTGAAGATGATTCCCAAGAAGTGGGGTAGAAGACCATGAAGCTGATTCCAGCCTCCAGGCACCTCTGGGCCAGAACCCTCCCCATATTTTCACTGGCATTAACACTTCGAGTTCTGTAGAGGTGCTTCTTAATAGCCCATTCTCGGGTGGATGCTGAAAGCACAACACCGCCATTATGATGCTCAACAAATGTTTCTAGGTGGTGCTGGGTCTGATGAGCTCACAACCTGTGCCCAATAGGCCCAGGGTGGCCATACGCTTGCCAGCCCTGATCAGTCAGTGAATTCCAGCCCGATTGCCTCTTTTCCTTCGTGTTCCCCTAGGGCACCAGGGCCAGGTTGGGGCTGGTGGTGAGGGCTGCCAACCAAAACCCGGGCTTCCTGCGAAGAGCCAACAGGCAGTGCCATTGTGCTGATGACCTCCGGACAAGCGACCTCCATGATCGGCTCCGTATAGCTCCAGGGAGCAGCAGGGCCTGCCTGGGAGAAGCCACGCTGGTTCAGAGCCTCCAACTTTGTTTGATATTTACACTAAACCTATTTGTCCTATTGTCAGTCAAGCTAGGAATTTATCAGTGGAGTGGCAAGGATCCATTGGGGAAAATTTCAAGTGTCCTATGTGTTCAGTGATCCCAAGGAAATGTTTTGTCCAGTTCTGTAGGGAAATCACCCTCAGTGTTACTGGGATCCTTGGACAAATTTCAGTGTGCCTTGTATGTTGAAGGAATACCTGAAGATATTTTGTCTGAACCTCTGGTTGTATTAGCCTATGTGATGAGGGAGGCAGGTAGGTGACACAGTGGATAGAATGCCAAGCTTGGAGGCAGAAAGACTCGTCTTCCTGAGTTCAAATCTGCTCTCAGACCCTAAAGTAGCTGTGTGGCCCTGGGCAAGTCACTTGCGTGGGACAGAGACCACTACTCAAAATCAAGACGAAGACTTAGATACCTTGAAAGCAGAAAGGAATTTATTGCTTTCTCATGAGAAAGGGTACGCCCCTCATCGCACTAATGGTGCTGGCCAAGGAGTATGGCCAGGGCGTGCAAGTTGGTTACAGAAAGCAAGGCTTATTTATACCCTAACACGAGCTCCTCCTCCCTAACCCTTTTCCCCTTATCCCTTTGGCTCGGCTTCAGGGGGCACAATCTATTCACAGAAATCTTCCCCAGCAACAAAAAGAGGGGAAATTTTGCAAGGGTAAACAGTTTAGGTTGGGGGTAGGGCTATTCTTTCTGCTACATGCTTAAAAAAAACCCCAGGGTCTGAGCAGGGGGGTTTTGACAAAGTGAGAAGGGAGTGTGTTTTAACAGTACAACTAAATTCCTTGAGAAGGCCATCTACAACAGTTCCCTCTAATTTCTCTCCTCTCACTCTCTTCTTAACCTCTTACTATCTGGCTTCTGACCTTATCATTTAACTGAGACAGCTCTGTCCAATTGACCAGTGCTGCCCTTACTGAGAACTATTAACCCTTTGAGAAGGCTTCACTTCTGAGAGATCATTTCTCACACACTTAGTTTCCTCATCTGTAAAATGAGCTGGAGAAGGAAGTGGCAAACCACTCTGGTTTCTTTGCCAAGAAAGACCCAAACGGGGTCGTGAAGAGTCTAATGTGACTGAAATGACTGAACATCAACAACAATCTAGATTCAAATCAGGCAGTCAGTGAGAGAAATCACAGGTTCAGAAACCTGCTTTGGGGAGCAAATGGACACACACAACCTTTTAGTCTTAGAAATAAAGGTAGAAGGAATTGAGTGAGAAGACTAAACAAAGACTTGTTGGCCATTTATAAATATTGGAGGGATTGTAATGTAAAAAGAATAGATTAGTGCACTAGTCTCATATTGGGGGCAGTTATGGGGTACAGTCGATAGAGCGCTGGGCTTGAAATTAGGAAGACTTATCTTCACGAGTTCAAATCCAGCCTCAGATACTTACTAGCTGTGTGATCCTAGATAAGTCACTTCACCCTGTCTGCCTCAGTTTCCTCATCTGTAAAATGAGCTGGAGAAGGAAATGGCAAACCACTCCCATCTCTTTGCCAAGGAAACACCAAAAATTGGGTCATGAAGAATCAGACGTGACTGACCTACACAACAAGTTCCATATTGTTGTTTTCTGTAGTGTTTGGTGATTTCTGAGCACCTCTCTACATTTGGTTCTAGCAGACTTCAGCTCACTCCTGACGCCATGGAGCTGAAGCTATTCAAGGAGAGGCTTGATGCTAGATGCTGTCTGAGATGCTAGAAAGGACAGTTGACTATACAGCTGGTGAGGTTAGACTAGATTTCTAAAGTCCTTTTCAACTCTTAACTTTTCTATTGCACCACGGTGTTCAGTCAGGATGTTGGGACACTGAGGTATGTCACAAACCTGTCTCTTGTGGCCAGCTGTATCCTGGTTTCCTAACTTCCCTTTGCTTGGTTTGGTCCATGGAAATTATAGTTTTTTAAAAAAAGATATGAACAATCATGGAGGGACAGCTAGGTGGTATAGTGGATAGAGCACTGGCCTTGGAGTCAGGAGGACCTGAGTTCAAATCCAGCCTCAGACACTTACTAGCTGTGTGACCCTGGGCAAATCTCTTAACTCTGATTGTCTCCAAAAAATGAACAACCCAATCACAGAAAGAAGTCAATGTGTTGATATATGTGTGTGTTCATAGCTGGTCCTATTTAGAATAGTTAGTCACCCCCCACAACAACATTTAAAGGATGCTTTTAAAGAAATATCCCAAGCCTAAAGGGTGATAGTACTCATAATCAAACCTCAGACCACTCTGAATGAGATTTTCCTTACTTTCTAATAGGCCACATCTCAGAACTGTTGTGACAACATTCTTGCTACCACCAATCTCTGCAGAGTATCTGGATTTCTGTAGCTCTAGTGACCTAGAAAAGAATGCAAGTAATTTTCCCCCCTATAGTTCAATCAAGACACAATGGTGTGGAAAAGTTTTATCAGGTAATTAAGAAAAAAAAATAAAAATAAAGTACATAAGCTTAGGATGAGCAAGTTTATAGAACGATAAAAGGCACTTGTTGAATTTTTTTCTCACGAACCTCTGCCTTCAAATCTCTTTTTCTAAGTCCTGGGCCTTTCCACCTCTAACCAATGCCATCTCTTCTGAGTCCAGAGACAATGATTTATTACCTCCTGGATAGCTTCAGAATTTCATAGGTGTTTCACTGAGTGAAGAGGAGGTCTGAGAGGCACTTCTCTCCATGGCTCCATGGCCTTAGTGTGTGTGTAGGAGGCATGTCCCTCTCTCCTCACCTTAGGGAGCCGTGCCAAAATAATGGGGATTACGAGGCTTTCTTCTCACATATCCATCGATGGGAAATCTCACAAGATGACTTGTCCATGGTTGGACTCAGCCCTACAGTCGCGCAGTCAAAATGTGGCACGTAGTTTGTAAAGCTGGGTGGACACAGAAGGGAAGGTCAAGATGTAGCTACGTGATGAGGCATCAGAGCCATGACCCAGACTTGAATAGTGACTGGGTCTCATTCTTTGGTACTTCCTATTGGTAAGCTATTGCTCAGGCCACTCTACACAAACAGAATTCCCTACATCTCCCCTGCCCCTTTTTTTCCCAACAGTCCATGGCCCTTGTCTGCTTTGAAACCTGGCTCAAAACTTACTTTCTCAGTTCATATGGACAAACATTTCTCAAAGTGATGGTGTTCTAAAAGCTAGTTAGTCATTGTTTTGGAATTCGGAACACATTTTCACGTAGAAACAATGTTAAAAATGGTGAGTAGGTTCCCAAAATATTCCACAAAAGCCTATTTTGTGCATAATGTAGCTGAAGCATAGAAGTAATTGTGCTAGCTTCAGTTTGGGGGCCTCAGGAAGGCAAGCCATTCAGGAAAATGGAACAGGTAGTGAAGAAGAAAATAAAGAAAGAAGAGAAATATGGTTTGTCTTTGGCACCCGTCCTTCTCCCTTCATGCAACCATCTCCCACCAACCAGGGGACTCTTACTTGGCTTCTAGTGTGCTTCTGCCTCTCTCCTACTGTTGCACCTCACTTAGGTTTGTGATACCCTGAAAATATTCAAAATATTCAAAAATAATCCACCTCTTCCATCGATCACAGTTTCCATTCCATTGTTGTGTAGTTGTGTCTGATTCTTTGTGACCCCATTTGGGGTTTTCTTGGCAAAGATACTGGAGTGGTTTGCTACTTCCTTCTCCAGTTTCCAGGAAACTGAGACAAACAGGATTAAGTGGCTTGACTAGGGTCACAGAGCTTGTAAGTATCTGAGCTCAGATTTGAACTCAGAAAGATAAGTCTTTCTGACTCCATGCCTGGTGCTCTATCCACTGCACCACCTAGCTGCCCCTCTAGCCCATCAGGGTCCATTATCTCACCTAGCTTTTTAGGAAGAATGCATTTCGAGAAAAGTGGTTCACATTAAGTTTTAATTAGCCCCTTAACTCTGCTTAAATGAATCTCTAATTGATAGAATTGTAGAAAATATAATAAAGTGAAGTAGAAAAACTGAGGGGGCAGGGATAGTTAAATATTTGGAGCAAAAAGACCATTTCCTGGGATACTGCCACTCTCAATTCTTCTGAGCTTTTCCTGCTCTTTAAAAAATGTTTCTCCCCCTTTTGAAGCAATAAGTTCTTGAAAATTTCTGATGGTATTTATGGCTATGGCAGCTAGGTAGTAAGGATGGGTACATAATACTGAGAGATAAAGGACAGCAACAACTACTTGTAGGTGGGGGCACATAGATGTAGAGTTGGAAGGGATCTTGGATGTTATATAACCCAATCCTCTCATTTTAGGATGGGAAAACTGAAATCAAGCGACTTGCTTAGGGTCAGAGAAATAGTAAATAGCAAATCCAAGATTCAAACCCAGGCCCTCTGACTTTAGATCCAGAGAGTGGCACAGTGTATAGAGCACTGGGCCCCCAGTTCAGGAAGAGCTGAGTTCAAATCCAGCCTCAACCACTTCCTAACTTTATGACCCTGATCAAGTCACTTATGCTTTGTCTTCCTCAGTTTTCTCAACTGTAAAATAGGGATCATAATAGGACCTAACTCCCAAAGTTATCATGAAGCTCAAATGAGATAATGCTTTTAAAGCTCTTAACATACCATGTAGCCCATAGTAGGTGCTTAATAAATCCTTCTGTCACTGCATCATGCTGGCTCAATATGCTTCTAGCATATTGTATGCTTCAGCCTTGTCGTCTTTACAATGAAATGGTCACATTTGTGTCCTGACTCAGGGAAGGTTGTCATTAAGCTGAATAATTTCTAATCCAAAGACACATCTCTGATGAGCTCTTTACATCTTCTTCTGTTTGAGATTCCTCATTTGGAAAAGATGCTGTGTCTCTATAGGACCTCGTAGGAAAAGGCCACTAAGAGGTGGTTCAATAAGATGGGCAGGGAAGAGGAAGAGGAGTAAGGAGGATCAATTCTATATCTATTGAGTAGTCCTTGACAACAGAATCATGGATCACGTCCTCTGTGTTATGTCAGATGAAATCCCTGAAGTCTGTCTACTTACTTAACCTGGAATCCTGAACCATCGATCCACTTCCACCTTTTTTGTGAATGCTGGTATCGAAGGCCAATGAAATACACCTCTAAACCAGCTCTCTCCTGGAGAAACTTCTGGAAAGGAAATTGGGCCATTGTAACACCAAATCTCACCGCCTCAGACTGAGACCACAGATGTGACTGTCCCTGCTACAGTGAGGGGTTATTTCTCAGCTTTACAGTCAGTTCAATTACCCATTAATGAAAGGAACCAGTAATGTACAGAAGCCAAATCAGCGAATAATCCAGATCACAACAACAACAACAGCACAACACTTTGAAATACCTTGATATCTGTACCCTTCAAGACCCCCCCACCAAAACAATAACAAAAACAAGAAGCAATAGCAAACAAGAAGCAATGACAACACTTTTCTGGTTCAATCTGTGTTTCCTGACATATCCTAAAAGAAGACACCATGGTGTGATATAAAAATGTGCAAATAATACAGAAAAAGATAACCAACAACATATTGTAAACAGAGTTCAAATACTGGGTCTGTTCTTGACTAGCTATCTCTTGGGCAAGTCATTAAACTCTCAAGACCTCAGTTTTTTCATCTGTAAAATGAGGGAGAGGATCTTGGTAATCAATGAGTATCCTGACTATATACTGAGTACAGGTCTAGAATTTAGGTTCATAAAATTAGAGCTAGGAGCATCTTTAGAGATCATCTGCTCATACTTGCTTATTTTGTAGATGATGAAACCTTGACTTAGAGAGATGACTGATTGACTCAAAGTCACACTGTATATAGTAGAGCTGAGATTTGAATCTAGGTCCTCAATCTGCTTTCCTTCTTCTCCCCTCTCCTCTTCTCCTTTTCCACATTTATTCTCTTCCTCTTTCTATAGGAGACCTCCAACCCTTAGAAACAAGCCAGTCACAAAGCATCTCTCTTTCAACCTATCATGCCCTGGTAGTCCTATACAGTCCTACTCTGTCTGGCTCTTCTGTCACCCCATTTTAGGAATCACAGTATCACAGAATCTTAAAGTTGCAAGGGACTCCTTCATTTTACAGATGGAAAAAAGACTGAAGCCTAGGAAGGTTGTGATTTGCCCATGGTCACACGGGCAGTAAGTCTTAGAAATGGGACTAGTTAGTGTTCTTTCATTCTTTTTAAAAGAATTCTCTTTTTATTTTATTTAAATTAACAAATATTTATTTTCTCTCCCCATGAGGAAGAGAAAAAAGATAAACAACAACAAAAAAGGAAAAAAACAAAATTTTGAAAACGAAACAAATACACTTAATCAAGCAAAGTTGTTGTTGTTTGTCCTTTGTTTTCAACCAGGACCAATGACATCATGGGATGATGTCTTGACTAATGCCTGAATTGGACTTAAGTGAGGCTGAGTTGCAAAAAGTCGTCAGCCTCACTCTCCTCCAGAGTCATCAAAGTCCAGTAGCAAGACAAAAGTCAAGATGACTGGCAATGGCCTGGGAGGCATCGGATGGCCTTGGTATATTTGATGTCTGACCAAGCTCTCAGCACTCCATAGCGCCTGCATCTGCACCTTCATGGCCATTGGAACAAATTGTTTTTATCCATCCATTCTAGTACTCTTTCTACTGTATCTGTAGCCTCTCAAGTGACCTCCCTGATTCTCACATTCTTTCCCCTCATAATCTCCATCTTCCTTTATCTCCAACTCTAGCTAGAATGCCCCTCCTATTTCCTTTAGATAAGCTGGGCATACCCCTAGCATGCTAGGGCCATTGTCTTTCTTATAAGAAAAAGGCTGAACATTGGAATATCACTCCATTCACTGAACTTGGTGTGCATACCAAATGGGAGTAGGGAAGCAGCTTCTCATCTCTGCTCCCAAAGAAGATACTTCTATCCTAGCCAGGGGTCTAGAATGGTGTTCTTTTCCTCTTCTGGTATGGTGCTCTCACCTGCTCCTCCGTGTTGTTGATAATTGCCAGTGTAGCCCCTTCATTAGAGCATCGAACATGACTATTGTTCCAGTTTTCTTCATTGGTGGAGAAGAAATAGCATCTCCCCTTATAAAGATCCCACCGAATGGGGCAGCCTGGAGGATGAGAAAAAATGATAAAGGGAGACGGTGAACAAGCAGTCACTTGGGGAGGTGATGATCTATTAGGTTTTTGAAGAATCTGATGAATGAAACAAATAGGGAACAAATAAGAGAAAATTCAGACCATCTCTATGGTACATACCTGCTAGTGCAGGTGTTTCCATATTAACTTTTTTTTCCTGTATTCCTGTCTTAATTTTTTAAATAAATTGTAAGTTCCTTGAGAACAATGATAGTTTTAGTATTTGGTGTTTTACTTTTACACATTGTCTTGTTTAATAGATGTTCTTTGAATTATATGTTATTGTCTCCTAACCCCCATCAACCAGCAAACAAAGTCTGGAAATGGTTTATAAAATTATTTGGAAGGCAAAGAGCCTGAAATTACATTAGAAAGCTTTTTTTTCCCCTCCCAGTAGCCCAGGTGCTAAGTGCTAAAGGCTTGAATTTACTTAGGAGTAGTAAAAATGGAAAAAAAGGAAAAGACAGATCCCAAAAACATTTTGCAGAAAGAATCAAAATGACTTAGCCATTGATTGGCTATAGGGATTGAGGAAAAGGAAGAGTCCAAGAGTCTGGAGACTGGGAATGATGTACCATTGACAGAAATTAATCATTTGGAAGAGGGAATTTAGTTTCATAGTGTTGATAACGAGTTTGGTTTTGAACAGATTATGTTTGAAGTAGCAATGGAACATTCAAGTGGAGATGTTTCAGGAAGGTGGGGAGAGGAGGTGTTGTGAGACGTTAGGAAATAAGGGGGAAGGAAAAGGATAAGTCAGGAAAGATAAAGGAGAAAGATTTTGAAGAAGCAGTTTGTAACGCAACAGAAAGATTAAGGAGAATAAGTTCAGAGAAAAGTCCATTATATTTCACGAGAAGGAGGTCACTGGTGACCTTCTTATGAATAATTGTAATAACACATTCCGGATGGAAGCCAGACTGAAAAGGTTAAAGAGAGATTGGTTGGTGAGAGAATGGAAATATTGGCCTAGTTCACTAGTTTAGGAAGTCATCAAATAATAAGTACCCTTAAACTTCCCTCATCCATAGTCATATCTACTATCCCTTAATAAGCAGTATGGTAACTCTTTAGTAGTAAAGAGAGCATTGAACTTAGATCAGGAAAACTGGCTTGATTCTTGGTTCTGATATTTGCTATAAGCCCAATTTACCTCTCTGCCTCAGTTTCCTCAAATGTAAAATGACTAAATCATAAAATTACTATTTTATTAGTAATCTCTCTCTTCAACTCTGTCTTCTAGTTTCCTTCAAATCCCTGCTAAAATCCCACCTTCTGCAAGAAGCTTTTCTCAGCCTCCTTTAATATTAGTTTCTTCCTTCTAATATTACCTCTAATTTGTCCTGTCCATAGCTTATTTGTACATAGTTGTGGGCAAGTTCTCTCCTCACCCGATTGAAAGCTTTTTAAAAGCAGGAGCTGCTTTTACCTTTCTTTGTATTCCCAGTGCTTGCATGGAGCCTGTCACATAATAGTACCTAATAAATAAACACTTGTTGACTTGTCGTTTCGAGCAGTGCATTTTGTGAACCTTAACTAATGCTTGTTGTTTTGAGCAAAGAGTTTTGTGAACCTTAAAATGCAATCAAGTGATCTATGATTGTCTTCCTAATTATTCCAAGAAAAACTTCCAAGGCACCATTGACAAACAGCCAAAGAGCTCTAGGAGAAAAGAGGTTGGTTTATTAAGATATGTGCATAAAATATCTCTCTTTTCCCTGGCAAGAAAAAAAATGTTTTCTTTTCCACTTGCTAATTCATTTCTGAGAAGCTGTATGTCTGCTTTCATCCAGGTGATTTGGTAGACTAGGAAAGTGATTTGCATCTTCATGTTTATTATAATTGAATTCCACAGTGATAAAATAATTTGGATACTCTTCTTGAGTTTATTAGAATAAAATCACATTTTTAGTTTATATCAAAGAGCTTTATTCTCTACCTAAATTGACCCCGTTCTTTTTAGTACTTGAGGTAATCTTGGTTCCTCTGAAGGACAGTAGACAGAACTAAGATGAGATTTTATTTATAATATCATTGAATGTACAATATGGTACAGCAGCTGTTGAATCCTTTTAAGTCACATCTGACATGACCTCAAAGCCCATTAAGTCCAATTCTCTTCATTCCACAGATGAGAAATTGAAATCCAAAGAAGTGAAGTTGACTTGTCTAAGGTCATACAGAAAATAATTATCAGAGCCAAGATTTTAACCCAAGTACTCTAACTCCATATCCAGTGCTCTTTACACTGTACCATGTGTTTTCTCTGGGCTTCAGTTTCCTCATCTGTCAAGTGAAACGGCTGTCTCTAAGGTCCCTTCCAATAATCACATTTGATGATTCTGCAGTGGTTTTTGTTCTCTTTAAATGGTCATTCCTGAATTACTTTAGCTTCTTGCCCATCTGTGCTGCTCTCTCATTTCCTACTTAGAAAGAGGAAGAGTAGAGAAATAGAGAGAAGGAATCAAAGAAGGAATGAAATAAGAAAGGATAGAAAGGAGGAAAGGGTGAAAACAAAAGTGGCAGTAACTTGACCATTAGGAGAAAAGGATGTCAGAAAGCAGATATTGAGAAGAGATCATCTATAGTCCAAACTGTTGAATTCAAGTGGTGATGGTTCCCCTAGAAGTTACCTGTTCCCCTGTTCTCTGGAGTGATGTATCTGTAGTTCCCTTCAGAGGTGGCAGGTGAGGTCGATCGAACTGCAAATAGAACCAATTGTTGACCTTGACCCTAAAGAAGACCAGGACTCAAGTCTTGGCTTTCTTATTTACTACATATGACCTCTCTGAACTTCAATGTCTTCTTCTGTAGAACAAGAGAGCTGGAGATCTAAGGTCCCTTCCAACTCTAAATGTGAATGTCTTTCAAAACCCAGCTCAAGAATCATCTTTTTCAAGAAACCTTCCAACCCCTCCCACACACAATCTTTCTTGTAATTTCCTCAGCACTTGACTGAGGGCACTGGATTTTGTGCTCCATAGTTATTTTGCATGTTTGTACTTAAAGCTCCGAGTGCTTGAATGATGCTTATTTTGTAAACCCTGTAGCAGTAGCTATAGCAGGGAGTGGCAATTGTTGACAAGTGGAATGTCAAGGTTCCAGTCCCTTGTTTTCTGGTTCACAAGGCTGAGGCTGATTAGGATGCTGACCCTGGTTCACAAGGCTGAGGTTGCTAAGAATGCTTTTGAAATGGCAGAAAAGGGACAAGCCGTGGAAGATGGTGGTGGTAGTTGATCTATGTGTCACTGAAATTACACAGGCTAGACTTCACATAGGTTTGGAACTGTAGAGTTCTTTACCTAGTGTATATTCAAAAAATGTTGAAATAGGGTAACAAGGAGTGGGAGAGTGAAGTCAGGAAGGGAAGGGAAGGGAATGGAAGGAAAGAGAGGGCAAAGGAGAAAAGGAAGAAGGAGGAAGAGGGAGAAGGGAAAGTGAGGAAAGAGCAAGGGAGGGGAGAAAGAAGGGAATTTGAAAACATAGGTGGCAGTGAGTGGACAATTAGGAGAGTAAGATGTCATGAAGGTGACAATGGGAAGAGGTCCCCAAGAACCCAGACTATTGAAGTCAAATGGGGACAGTCCCCCTAGAAGTTACCAGTTCTGCTGTTTTCAGTGGTGGGGTAATTGGAGTTATCTTCAAAGGTAGTGGAAGATATCCATGGCACTGTAAGCAGAGCAGTGTTGGTCTTAGCCCTGTACTCAATTCTGGACACTCTTATTTTTTATCTGTGTTTCCCTGGAGAAGTCACTAACCTCTACAAACCTCAGTTTCTTCATTTGTGAAGGAAGGAGATGTCCCTTCCAACTCAAAATTCTATGAACTTTTTTTTTCAGAACCCAGCTCAAGAATTGGCTTCTATAAAAAAGCTTTCTTAGGTGACCCAGGCCTCATTCCCACCTAAACCACATGCTTTCTTTGAATTTTTTAAAATACTGTGCTTCTCTAGTCAATACCACATTGTTATTTATTGATTTTTGTTCTCTAGTTATGTCACATCCCAATTTTATGTCTAGCATGCCAGATTTATGTTTACTGTTTACTTCTAGTAAACCCAATATAATGTCTTTACATTTTTTCTTATCTCCTGATTCTTTCTCTGGTGCATATAAACATGCCCGAGTCTCTTTCACCTTTTCTTTCTTTCTTTCTTTCTTTCTTTCTTTCTTTCTTTCTTTCTTTCTTTCTTTCTTTCTTTCTTTCTTCTTTCTTTTCTTTCTTTCTTCTTCTCTTTCTTTCTTTCTTCTTTCTTTCTTTCTTTTCTTCCTTCCTTCCTTCATTTTCTTTCTTTCTTCTTTCTTCTTTCTTTCTTTCTTCTTTCTTTCTTCTTTCTTCTTTCTTTCTTTCTTTCTTCTTCCTTCCTTCCTTCCTTCCTTCCTTCCTTCCTTCCTTCCTTCCTTCCTTCCTTCCTTCCTCCCTTCTTTTCTATTATTTTGTGGGGGTTGATGAAGAGAATCCATTTTTTTTTAGCTCTATGTCTTATCCTGGAATCAGGCTCATATTGTTGTGGTTGTTGTTGTCATTCATTTGTTCAGTTACCTCCTACTCTTTGTGACCCCTTAGACTATAGCATGTCAGTACTGTCCACCGGATTTTCTTGGCAAAGATACTGGAGTGGTTTGCTATTTCCTTCTCCAGTAGATTAAGGCAGAGGTCAAATAACTTGCCCAGGGTCACATAGCCAGTAAGTGTCTGACTCAGGTCTTGCTGACTCCAGACCCAGTGCTATATTCAGTAAGCCACCTAGCTACCTTTTTTGTTTGTTTGTTTGTTTAAATTTAATTTTTTGGTACATCCCTTTAAGGGACAACCCTATGCCTCCTTCTTTAAAACCAAACTTCCAAAATGGGTCTTCTATGCTCAATGTTTCTCAACTCTCATTCATAGACATGGACTCCCACTGCCTTCTCAGTATGGTGCAGTAACAGCAGAATTTCTCGGCCCCACCTTTTTCCAAGGTTAACCAAGTAGCTCTTATCTGCAAAAGGCAGCGGTCTTTTCTAAATTCTCATTCTACTTAATGTCTGAAGTTTTTAGCGATGTTGATGTCCCTCCCTACTCCATAATCTTTCCTCCCCAGTTTCCATGACATATGCTTTCTTGATTTTCTTATTATTTGTCTAACCATTACTTCTCATTTTTATTTGCTAGACCCTCATTCTTCTCCTATATATTATGTGTGGGCATCCCCCAGGGTTTTGTCCTGGGTCTTCTTCTTTTATCTCTCGATTTCTCAGGGAGTTCATCAGCTCCCATTTGTTCAGTTACCACTTCTATGCTGCTTTAATCTCCCTTCTGTCTTTCAGTTCAACATTACTGCTTATTGTACAATGATAATAATGGTAGCAGTAGTATTAATGACTAGCATTTATCTAGGACTGTCTAAGTATTTCCTTTTATTCTCACAACAACCCTGTGTGGTAAGTACTATTACTATCTCCATTTTACAGTTGAAGAAACTGAGGCAGAGGTTAAATTCTATCCATTATGCCACCTAGCTTGAATCTCAAGTTCAAAATACACAAAGCAGAATTTTAGCCCCAATTTATCTATTTTCCCAATTTTCCCTATTTCTGTTGGAAACCACATCTGGTCAGCTACTTGGGTTCACAACCAGAATGACATCCTTATTGGGAGAGGAGGAAAGTCTACTTTTCTCTCCCCCCTCCCATATAATTAGCTGCTAAGTCTTATGGATTAACCTTCAAGTATCTCTCCCATCCATCCTCCTCTATCTTTTATCTAGCCTTTACTTTAGTTCAGAGCCTCAGCACCTCTGGCTTGAACTATAGAAATAAGTCCACAATTGCCCTCCCACCCCAAGTGTCTCACCTCTCCAAAGGAAAGAAGATGGTAATGGAGTGAGGCTAAAACAGGAAGAAACTCGACAATCAGTAAACAAGAATGTCAGGAAAGGAATAATGGGAGTGGTGCACCAAGAGGCCAATCCATTGACAGAGACGTTACCTGTTGTGCTTCTTTCTGTGCTGGTAGAGTTGAGGCTTTCTTCAAGGACAGGAGGGAATATCTGTGGCACTGGAGACAGAGTTGGCTGTTAGCATAAACCCAGAATCTTCTCCAATGATCCCAATAACATGACTCAACTCTGTTGTATAATACATTTCTCTCTATCTTTCTGTCTCTCTCTGCCTCTTAAAGGTACAACTCAAGCCTCTTCATTTTAGTCAAAGTCCTAATGGGAGTTTGGGGATCTATTGTGACAAGCCAGAAACTCTAAAATATTTTTTTTCTGTTCCTCTTCCACTTCCCACACAAGGATGTCTTCTATGCTACATGGCTAGCCACATCCTTATTCTCTTTTCATCGTCTCAGGCATGGAAGTAGATCTTAGAAAAATGAGGGGAAGGCAGGATAGTGGTGGAAAAATCCTGGATGGGGAAGTAAATTCAATCCTTCTTACCGTTGTCAGCCTTGGCCACCAACAAACATCTCCTCAGTGTGTGCCAGGTCAAACCCCACACCTCCTTTGGACTTCCTCCCATTTTGAGTATTCCAAATGATAATTTGAGAACAGCCAGCTGGGGGAGCTGGATTTATGCAGAATCTAGGTATTCCAAGCCTTCTTACTATTCTAGAGTAGGTGTAGGGCAAAGTCTTCCTATGAGAGAAAGGAGGCCATTTTTTCTTTTTCAGTCCAAATTACATCTTCCTAGTGAAGGAGTCTGGGGATGGGGGTGGTGGTTGGGATGTCTTGTCTTCAATGCAACCAGGACTTATTAAGTGCCCACTATGTGCTGGACTTGGGAGGTTCAAAGACAAAACAAATAGTCTCTGCCTTCAAGGAGCTTATGCTTACTCCTGTAGACTCTAGGTTTCTATAGAAGCAGCAGCAATAGTTTAAGACACTGTATATAATCCCCTCAGTAGCCTGGCAACCTGAGGATTTGCCCTGGGGGAAGTTATTCCATTCTGCTAAAATATGATTATTCAAGTTTAGATCATTCCAATCTGACACAATAGGGGACACCATGGACCTGTATAGTTGGGGAGGTGTTGGTTTACTTAATCAGTAAGTGGCAGCATGGAATAGTGAAAAGAACGGTAGGCACTTCAGTCAGGAGAGACCTGGGTTTCAATCCCACTACCTGTTGACCTTGGGCAAGTCCCTCTACCTCTTCAGGTTCTGGTTTCCTCACATGTAAAATGTGGGGAGTGTGGATAGAATATTAGATCAAATGACCTCTGGTGTCCTTTCCAGTTCTAAATTCTAGGGCCCCCGGGGCAACTAAGGGGTGCAGTGAATAGAGCACCAGCCTTGGAGTCAGGGGGACCTGAGTTCAAATCCAGCCTCAGACACATAACACTCACTAGTTGTGTGACTCTGGGCAAGTCACTTAACCCCCATTGCGTCACCAAAAAAAAAAAAATCCTCAGGTCCTAAATCTTACTCATACAATATGTCTCCTCATTATGGGAATTCCTGGTGTGCTAATTTCTTCCACAAGTGGAGATTGCATCCATTCCATAAGTTATAGTCTTAAAAATTTCCTGAGTCTTCAAAGGTTAAAAAATGATAATTTTGATAGCTAAAATTTATATAGTGCCTGAAGGTTTGCAATCACTTTACATATGTTATTTTATTTGATTCTCACAACAACACTGGGAGGTAGGTGCTATTATTATGCCCATTTTACAGATGAGGAGACTGAGGATGATAGATTAAAAATCTTGCCCAGGGTCACACAGCTAATAAGTGTCTAAAGAAGAATTTGAATCTAGGTCTTCCTGACTCCATGTTCAGCTCTTTATATCCCCCCTATGTTACATGGCCTTTCTTAATTTAGGACGAATAACATAAAAATTGTGTATATATAAGGCAAATTAACATCCAATTTTGATCTCCTAACTGAAGGAATCTTTGTAATGAGCTTGCATCCCTTATCTCCATGATCTTATTTGAAAATTTCCATGTAGGATGGATCAGTTTTAGTTCTTTGAGGACAGAGATATTTCTTTGTATCTCTCTCTCAATTGTTAGTAGAGTATCAGGCACTTAAACAGCAATAAATACTTGCTAATCAATGGTTTCTTCCTTTCCTTTATCAGTCAATAAGTATTTCCTAAGCACCTACTAAGTGCCAGGCCCTATGCTAAGCATTGGACATACAAGGAAAGGCCAAAGACAATCTCTGCTCCCCAAAAGCTCACAGTCTAATGAGGGAGAGGGCAAGCAAACAGCTGTACACGAACAAGCTAACCTCAGGATAAACTGGTGATAATCAGCAGAGGGAAGGTACTAGCATGGCATTTGGGCCTTGAAAGAAGCCAGGGCAGCCAGGAGGCAGAGATGAGGAGGAAGAGCGTTCCAGGCATGGGAGACAGCCAGAGCAAACTCCTGGAGTTGAGATATGGGAGTGTCTTTTTTGAGGATCAGCAGGAGGGGCAGTGTCGTAGTGGTGGAAGAAAACCAGAACTATAAGAAGGGTCCAGATTGTAAAAGCTTTAAATGCCAAACAGAGGATTTTGTATTTGGTCCTGGAGATGACAGAGAGACATTGGAGTTTGTTGAACTGGGGTGGGAGATGCCATATATCTTTCCTGTTTTAGAGCTCTAGGGATGGCCAGATGCGGGGGAAGAGAGCTTCAGATTGGGTAAGGAGTGAAGACTGCTTCTTGCACAATTTGTGACTCCTAGGAGCATTTCCTTCCTCATTTCTTCCTCCATTGGGTTTGGAATGGAAGCTTTGGCACGGGAGGAAGAGGGAATTTATAGTACCTTGCTTTTGTACTTACAATAAGATCATCCTTCAGTTAAGATGCCTTTTATACCATGCGTGACTCTGGGCATATAAGAATGCTATGGATGAATCACCTCACATCCCCCGTCTACTTGGTGTTATATACTTTGGTCTAACATAGTTACTATACACTATGGTATGAGTACCCTAATTGCCTTACACCAGCTTCATAATTAGATAATACTGGATCGTCAAAATTCAAGAAAGAAAAACCTCAATTGCCCAGACAAATGGAGAGAACAGAAGGTATCAATATTTGGGACCTGAATTACCTAATTATACAGCCTTAATTTATTGAATTCTTGTCTATTCCACACTTAATTCCATATAGTATTGACCTAGACCTGTCTTGCCCAGTGTAGGCATTTGCAATTTCACAAATAGTTCTAGAGGTAAAGGACCGGACTTAACCTATACACTGAGTCTCCCATTCAGGGGAGGGGCATGGATAAAAGAGAAAGAGGTGGGAGGGGAACCAAGTACTTACAATAAAGGAGAAAAAAGGTTGTGCCAACAGCTTTGACAGTCACAACAATGGCTACAGAGATGACTATATGCCAGTTTACACAGGCCATAGTAAATCGTGTAGGGAACCTACATGGATCAGAGAGAAGCACCATTAGGCATACTGCTATTTGTTTCAGTAGGAACTTGCCTATGTACAGATCTCTGAAAGTTGCAGGGGACAAGCAAGCTATACATATTGAGAAGTGGCCCGGAGGGCAGTTAGAGTCTCTGGCCCCACACGGAGCATTTAAATCATTCTTCAACCCCCAGCAACTCACCTTTCTTAACTAAGGGGTAGAGCTTGGGGACTTTCTCTCTCAAATCCATTTATGGCTTGCCATCCCCATGGTGTGCAGTATTTAAATGGTTTTCAGTTGAAATTTCTGCCTGAAAAAAGTATGCTCACATTTTGAAAACCTGGACTAGGCTCTAGAATAGCCCCCCAAAACACTTAATCTATATCTGTGGCATTGCCTCAAAGCTTTTGGAAATCTAGGTTCCTCAAATACAATCACTAAAAGTGCCACTGAGGAAGAACAGATAGAAAAACAAAATTCAAGAATCTATTGTCTTCAATAAACATATCTTGAAGATACATACAGTATGAAAATGAAAGACAGGGGAAAAAGTCACTATGCATCAGAAGATTCCAAGAGAGCAAGAGTTGTTATTAGGCTACCAGAGAAAACAAAAACAAAAATTCAAATTATCAAGAGAGTTAGGGAAACTATGTTATGTTTAAGGAGCTATCGCACCAGTTCTGTACGTATGTATGTCAGATGATGTAGCATCTAAATTCATAAAGCAAAATTTAACTGCATTGTAGAGAGTGCTCCTAACAGATTGAGGAGGAAGCTTAAGTTTTGTAAAGGAAAAAAGATTGACTTGACTTACGTAGTACCTCCCTCTGGGAGGCAGCCTGAGGTGGGCTGTTCTCAGAAAAGTCCCGTCTCCCCAGCAGGTGGTCGTGTCTCTGGGAGATTCCAGACCCTTGATCTTCCACTAAGTTAGGATGCTGCCTCTGAGACCGTCTCTTCATCTTGCCAACATCCTCTGCTTCCTGTGCCTCTTCCTCTTCTGGCTTTTGGGGGTGGAAAGAAAGGGGGAGGCCAGTTGGGGGGGGTTGGGGAAGAGGCAAAAGGTTTTTTTTTTTAAACCCTGGTAGGCAAGTGGGGGAGAATACCTACCAGAAGGAGGAGGAAAGGGGCCCATGTGCTTGAATCATGCTGTTGCAACCTTACCATGACTGCTTTGAAAAGAAATCCAGGCATCTTCACTGAGATATGCACCTTTTGCCCACATGCAACATGAAAGACTACTTTCTCCAAATTCATGTGAATTAAAAGTGATTCAAGTCTGGCCAGGGCTAGAGTATTTGAAATATATACATATACATATATGTATATGAGTGTTAAATGTACTACCACTCAAGACTGATGTTTGAAGTGAGAAGGCAGTGAGATTTGAGGAAGTCTGGTAGTTTGGGGGTGGGAAAGGGAAAGAGTAGAAGTGAAGAAATGGAATAAAAAAAAGAGAGAGAATCTTGAAGTTAGAAATCATGACTGATTGAGTCAATGAGGGAAAATGACCTCATTTATCTTGCCCTCAGTTTCCTCATTTGAAGGCAGTTAAGTGGCATAGTGGATAAATAGTGCTGGACTTAGAGTTAGGAAGTATTTAAACTCTCCCTCAAACAGCAGCTGTCTTAACTCTGAACAAACCACTTAACCTCTCCCAGCTTCAGTTTCCTCATCTGTAAAACAGGAAAAAATAATAGCACCAATATCATGAAACTATCATGAGGATCAAATGAAATAACATGTAAAACACTTAAAGAGATATAAATGCTAGTGATTATTATTAATAACAATAATGTTAATTATTGAAGTAATTAAATTGTTAAATATTTGTAATATTAATAACAATAACAATAACAACAAAATAAGGATACTAGAATATATGATTTTTTTAAATTAAATTTTATTCTTTTTCAATAAGCCAAAATCTGCCTTTTCTTCTTTCTTCCTATTTCCAAATGAGAAAGAAAGAAAAACAAAACTCTGCCATAAATATGTATAGTCAAGCAAAACCATTTTCCACACTGGCCATGTCTAAAAAAAATTCTAATTCTCCATTCTGAGTCCTTCACCTCTCTATCAGAAGGCGGATACCATATTTCATCATTAGTTCTTTGGAATCATGGTTTGGTCATTAAACTGAACCAAATTCCTAGGTCTTTCAAAGTTGTTTGTCTTTACAATATTGTTGTCATTGTATAAATTGTTCTCCTGGTTCTGCTCACTTCCTTCTGTAACAGTTCATATAAACTTTCCTAGGTTGCTCTGAAAATGTCCCTTTCATTATTTCTTATAGAACAATAGTTCTATCACATTTATATACCATAATTTTTTCAGTTATTCCCCAATTGATGAACACCTCATAAATTTCCAATTCTTTGCCATCACAAAAGACCTATAAATATTTTTGTACTCTTATTAGAATTTATTTTACTTAGATCTAATCCCTTCCTTAATCTACATGTCCTCTAATTATCCCTTCTTCCTTCTTTTTTCCCTTCTATTTCTCTGTTGAGTGAAATATATTTCTTTTCCCAACTATGTGTGTATCTGTATTTATGCATCCTTTCCTTCTTTGACCAGTTCAGATGAGAGTGAGGTTCAAGTATCAGTGATCCCCACCTCCCCCAGTTTGCATAGAGTGAAGTATACCTAAGTTTTGGTTTGCTTTTGTCATGGCTTTCAGGTAATCCAATAATTCTTAAAAATTATATCTCCTTAATCTGTTTTTAAGGTCAATTTTAAAAAATACATCTTGTTTTATTACTTCTGTCTTTTGACTTTTTTTTATTTTTTGTCTCATTGAGTCTTCAGCTTCTATTTGGTTCATTGTAATTTTCAGGGAGTTTGTTACTTGGGTAGGGTTTTGTACCTCTTGTACCAAGCTGTTCATTCCTTTTCTAATTTTCCTTCTATAGCTCTCATTCCCCCCCCCATTATTTTTCCTCTAGCCATCTCATTTAATTTATTAAAATTTTTTCTTAACTCTAAAAATAATTTTAAAAAATCCAACCTACCTCTTGCTTCATATTTTCCAGAAATTCTAGATAAATTTGTGTCCAAGCCATGTTTTTTTTCTGATGGTTTTTGTATAGATGTTTTAGTGTCATCTCTTCTGGATTTGTGTCTTGAATATCCCTGCCACTGCAAATAATAGCTTTTTATAGTAGGATTCTTTTTCTTTTTTAATTTGCTCATTCTTGTCTAATTTTTGACCTCAGACTTTGTTAAGGCCAGGTCCTGTGCCCTTCCAAAGCGAATATCTAGGCTTGTTCTGCTATTTTCTTGGAGATATTGAGTGCTGTGTTATTACAGAATCTCAGGTACAGCTCAGACTTGGGACCTGTAAGCTTTCACTCCTCCCAAAAGAAGTCTAATCTGCTTGTTGCATCCTGGATCTGAGCTCAGCATGTTCCTGACATGGGTTTGGGACTGATTGACAGGTCTGTGGGCTTACGCCATCTGGAATTTTAGTAGACTGCTGTTAGACTCAGTCACTATTTGCCAACTGGAAAGGCTGCTGGTTCTCGAGTAACAGAGATTTAGGCTTCCCTTTGGTATGGGCTTCTGGTCCTGGTTACTCCTTTTCAGGTTTTAGATTTGTCTGGAAGCTGTACCCAAGACTACTCTGCTCCCGGGGCCTGAGCCACATTGCTGCTATTTGCTTCTGAATTTCCTCCTTGCCCAGCACACAGCTTGGACCTGAATCTGCTCCTCACCCTGGACGCCACCCTAAGGCACAGGTCCCCTCCTCAATCCACTTTGGAATTATGACCCAAAACTTGTTAGTGAGTGACAGACCTGCCAACTGGCAACTGTACCTGCATCCTATGCAAGTTTGGGTCCCGCTATACTGGTTCTGGGACCTCTTCTTGCCCTGTGCACAGCTTCTTCCTTGCTCTGGAATGTTCTTCCTAGACTCTTCATAGTGTCCTTGTACCTGTCTGTCCGCCTATGCTTACCTGGGCTGGAAAAATGACTCACTGTGATTTTTTTTTTCCTTTAATTTCCAGGTCAGGATTCAGTCAGGTACTTTTGTAGATATTCTTGGAGGAGATTTTTTTTGGTATGTTTGTTTGTTTGGAAGGACAGGGTAGGGGGAGCTTGCTATATTTCTTGCTACTCTACTCTTTTTTTTTTAATACAAATTTATTTATTTATTTTTAGTTTTCAACGTTCTCTTCCATAAGATTTTGAGTTCCAAATTTTCTCTCCATCTCTCCCCTTCCCCCGCCCCAAGATAGCATGTAAATTGATATAGGCTAAACATATACATTCATGTTAAACTTATTTTCATATTTGTCTTGCTGTAAAAGAGAATTAGAATCAATGTGAGAAACCCTGAGAAAGCAGAAACAAACAGAAAAAAAGAGCAAATAATATGCTTTGATCTGCATTCAGACTCCATAGTTCTTTTTCTGCATGTGGACAGGCTTTTCCATCATGAGTCTTTTGGAGTTGTCTTAGATCCTTGCATTGCTAAGAAAAGATAAGTCTATCAAAGTTAGTCATTGCATAATGTGACTATTACTGTGTACAATGTTTTCCTGGTTCTGCTCTTTTCACTCTGCATCAGTTCATGTAAGTCTTTCCAGGTTTTTCTGAAGTCTGTCTGCTCATCATTTCTTATAGCACAATAGCATGCTACTCCACTATCTTGGTTCTACCTCACCTGGCCTGTGAGATCTTTCGAATCACCTCAAATTCTAATAAATTTCTGTGGTTTTACATTGCATGTTTGTCTCTCAATGATAGTCCTATGGCATTTTTCTTGGGCTGCCTTTACCAGAAAAAGGGACTATCTTCCTAGAGAAATTAAGGAGAAGAATTCAAGAGAATTGAGGTTTAAATAGCTACAAAACTCTTTTCCCTTGATACTTAGAATTACATCTGAGGCTCAGATGGACAAATTTTTGATTTCTTAATAATTGGAAAAACTCCAGAGTTGGACTGCTGCTAGAAGTGTGAGCTAGAAAGTGGCTATTAGGACTTTTATAACTATTAGCAGCCTGCTTTTTTATTTAAACTGTGCTCTGCCAAAATAATAACTGCTCTTACAAGGAGAAGCTTTATATGAAAATCTCCCCTTCCTATACTAAAACAAACTTTGTGAGCTAACTCACTAAGAGTGTGCATGTCTCTTGAAATTGCAGGAGAAATTATGAGAGAGGAGAACTGGAGGAAACACAAGGGGGATTAGGGTAAGGTGAAGAAAGGAAGAACTATAGCTAGATCCCATGTTTACAGAACAGATCTATTGGGTAGTTCTATCAGAAAACATCCCTTGAGGCAGCTAGGTGGCGTAGTGGATAGAGCATTGGCCCTGTATTCAGGAGGACCTGAGTTCAAATCCAGCCTCAGACACATAACACTTACTAGCTGTGTGACCCTGGGAAAGTCAGTTAAGCCCATTGCCTAGATAAAAAACAAAACAAAAATCCTTAATGTCTGGGGCTCTCTCTCTCTTTTGGGGCTTCTCTGTGTCCAAATCATTTATTCTGTTTTTCCTCAACACTTAGGCAACTAAGATACCCTATATGTATGCAGACCCAACTTTGAGGAACTGCCCCCAGGGGCTGGTATGCTGCTACTATTTTCTGCTCTGTTCTATTCTCTCCCAGGCATTCACTTTGAGTCATGTTCAGTTCTGGGCAATGAGAGGGGTACTCACACTTTTTTTGGCTGAAGTCCCACTCCCCGTACATTTAATTATAACAAATTAGATTATAGCTTACATCTTGGACCTCCCCAAAATGAGTGAGTAAAAAAAGGCCTACAATATACAAGATGAATCGGGTAAGGCACAAGTAATTTATTTCTACACACACACACAAAAAGAATACAAAACACAGAGTACTTAGAATGTGCTCATTTGACCAGAACAAATATATAACA